ATCAAAAATTTTCTTTTCACCTTCTTGTGTATTCAGTTCTATAGCCAGTTCATGCAGAGTTCCAGCATACCTAGTAATTTCAGTGACTGCCTTCTTCATTTTTAGACCAGTTGATTCCTTTTTCACAGTGCCTGTCCTCTTTTTGTAGCGTCTTGAGCTTTTTTTTTTATATTTGTATCATTTTAAACTACTTATCTCTCTGTTAGACCATCTGATTATCCCGTTAGTGACGGCTGCTCCTTGCTGTGTCTTCTGACTGTTGAGCCGGATGGAGGACTGTGTTCTTGTGTAATTTATAATCTGAATTGTGAGCTCATTTCAGAAAGCTGTGTCTGTAGGGAGCCTAGAAGGACTTGAGTGAGGGAGAATCTCTTCAGAGCCATTCTCACTGTGGGCTATCCAGGTTTATTTCAGACCAGTAACAGTTTTTCACATTAATTCTCATCTTGGGTATATGGGTCTGTTCAAGAGAAGGCCATTTTAAACCCCTAAGCACAGCATGGCAAGACCCCTGACTATACTCTCATAGGAGGCCTTCATCCGAGACTGTCTTACTGGGCAGGTTGGTCTGTGGCGCAGTCCTTGCTCTGTGGGTGGCTCCCACTTGCACATCTCTGCTCATCTGGGACCAGGACCTCTTCTTTGGTCCACGTGTGAGTAACATCTGGGTCCCTGGATTACCACACACCAGAGAAGCACTGGCTTACATGTGCTCTCTAGAGCGCTCCCATCACCTGGCTGCTGAGGACTCCTCCCCATTTCTTGCCAGCTCTGCTCTGTATGTAGGAGGCGGGAGGGGGTTTCGGGGTATAGAACCTATGACAACTGGGAGTCCCCTTTTCCTTGCATTTACATCGCAAAGTGTTGGGTTTTGCATAATGCATAATATTTTCCACTGTTAGGTAAAGTCAGATTCACTAGTAGATTTGAAACAACTATGTTTCTCGGTTGTCTCACACAGTATGCAAATGTAAGGTTTTCTAAAATAATATGCATTTCATGCCCTTTGATTACTATTCTATCAGAAGCCATATCTTACAACACATTCCTTTTCCTTTTTATGCTTACATGGACCAGAATCAGCTAAACCCTGGAAATACCATCCAGGGGAATAAGCAGGCACTGGCCAGTCCCTCTCCGTAACTTGTAATAGGGATGGATGTCTGTGCTGGAGAGCCTGTCCCATAGTCAAGGTACTACAGAAGCGGTGTCAGTAGTTGGCAGGCAGTGTGCGAGTGCACTGATACAGGGAAGGGGCTGGATGGCCCTGGGAGAAGCATGGCTCGGCACACAGTAGGTGCTCAAGAAATCTGAGGGATCAAATCGATCCATTTCAGTGCTGCTGCAGAGCAGGCCCACGTCCTGGCAACCCATAGCCATCCAGTAAAACAGTTCCTGGAACAGTTACCTCAACACACAAATTCTTACACTTTTCCTCCGTTTCGTGTCTTCCCCATGAATCAGCCCCCACACCTGATCCCCAAGGTGAGTACCTGCAAACTGGCTTGGAGCGGAAGTTTTTTAAATCAGGAAATTTAAAAAATATGAAAAAGTTGGAAAATGTCACATCCAGTTGTAAAGCTGTAGCCTCTCCAGAAAAATCACAACACAGCAATCAAGGGCCCACGTTCCTGCCTGGCTCTGGTCTTCTTCGGGGAACCTGCTGTCCAGGTTACTAGGGTTGCTCCGTTTCTACTTGTTTTTTAAATAGCAGCTTCATTGAACTAAAATTCGCAGATTGTACGATTTACAAACTTAAAGTGTATTATTCAGTAAATTTTAGTGTATTGAGAGTTGTATGCTAAACCATGACCACAATTAAATTCAGATCATTTTTGTTATCCCAAACAAAACACTCTGCCCACCATTATCTCTTAATGACCACTCCCCCACAATCCAGACAACCTCTGACTACTCACCATTGTTGTAGTTTTTCCTATTCTGGGAATTTAAAAAAAAAATTCAAAATGGCTCATGCTCATAGCAACCATAGAGACCTGAACATACGTCAAAAAAAAAAAAAAAAAAGTCCTTCAAAGTGAGTTCTTATACCACACTAGAACGAAACTAGAAATCCACAGAAGAAACATACTTAGAATACAATAACTTTTTTCTTTCTCTTATTTCATACTTTACATATTAACTTTTTCATGTTAATATATAACATGAAGTGTGATGTTTAAGCTTGTGTGTCTGATTTACTTTACTTAAAATTATGGTCTCAGGGTGCATCCATTTTCCTACAAATGCCTCAAGTTTACCTTTATGGCAGAATCGTACTTGCTCTTGTACAAACACCACATTTTCTTTATCGGTTCACCTGTTGGTGGGTGTATAGGCTGTTATCCTCCGAGACTCAGCTGCTGTAAACACAGGTGTGCGTACCCACCCTCTGAGGCCTACTGTGCACAGGTAGTTACTTCAGCCCAGCACCAACTGCTTCATCACCCCTCCCATTGTTTCCTGCCTGAGACACATTCTCCACACTGGGACTTGGTCATTTCCCAGCCTGCTATCTACAAAATGCCTCTTAGGATGAGTCACTGTAGCAAGTATTTTTAGTTGATTCTTGCTAATTTCATTTTCAAAAGGGGTTGGGTTTCTAAGCAAACCCTTTACTATCCTGACAACTACCCATTTGTGTAAGGGAATTAAGAGGTCTAGGACCATAAAGAATTCTGCTTATGGGGCTGGAGATGTACCTTAGTGGTGCTGTGCCTGCCTGGCAAGCACAAGGTCCTGATTTCAATCCCAAGTACTGCAATAAATTAAAAAAAAAAAAAGAATTCTGCTTATTGGTCACCAGGGCAAGCTTAAACCAACTTTATTTCATCAATGAACCATGGTAATGATCAGGAGAGGAAGGGCTTTTAGTGCATATTCACTGGGTGCAAAGTGCTATTTAAGTACTTGCATTCAGTGTTCATTTGACAGGTGAAAAAACAGGCACAGAAGAACAGAATAGAGCCTGACTTGAGGTTACTGTCTAAATCAACGGCCTCTAATTCCAAGACCCATCACAGAGGTCAGACTTTACATACAGAGGCATGGCCTTAGGTCACGTAGCAACCTGGGAGGCTGACAGTAGCTGCCTGCCACAGGTTAAAACCTCCTGAGGCCTTCTGAACCCAGCCAGGCATGAAGCAACCACCATGACAGGCTACCATCTGGGGACAGTAAAGATGGGCTAGTGGGATATCTTTGCACTTTTCTCACAACATTTTGGTAAGTCTGAGATTATGCCAAAATAAAATTTAAAGAAAAACTGGAATATTATTAGTTGGCATGGATGGATTTCCAAAGAAATCAAGTGTTAATAGCAAGATCCAGAAAGATGGGAGTAATTTTATTTTTGTGAAATAAACAATGACATAATCTCCCCCCTCACATCCCTGTATATCCTTATGAGGATGGAATTAAATATATACAAGATGTTAAAAAAATTCTGGAGCCCAGTCTCCAGGGGTTCTACTTGAGTTCTTTCATGGTAGGGCTTGTGCCTTCTTTTAAAGTTCCCTGCATCAGGGTTCTTAACTTTGTTACACATTATAGTCACCCGGGAAGCTTTTAAAAGTCCTGATGCACAGGCCATTGCCCAGACCCACTAAATCAGACCTGCTGGCAGTAGAGCCCAGAACTGGTGTCTTAAAATTCTCCCAGAAGGTTCCAATACACACTCAAGTCTGAGGACCAGGCAGGGGTGCTCCAGGTAGGCAAGATGAAGAATAGCTGCTGGGAAGGGAGGGATAGCACACATAGACTACTACCAGGTAACCAGCGGGGTGTCCCTGGCAGTCCTTGAGACAGTCAGTGAGTCAGGGCCCTGGGAAAACAGGCTGGCTCCAGAGGTAAGTAACCTCTTACTGGTTACAGAGCTAGGAGTCTGTGGTGTACACTCTCCAGCCACTACTACCTCAGACAACTGCGGTTTAAATTCTTCTTCCAGGTTCATTCCTCTGGATTCTTCCTCCTAGGAGTTACTAAAAACAACAGTGCACAAGGAGTTGGGTTCAATCCTCAGCATTGCAGAAGAACAAAATCAAAACAAAAAACTCGACAATTATAAGCAGCAGCAAATATTCCCAGGAGGAGTTGCATGTTAAGCAGATCTTAGCATCCACCCAGAAAGTGCTCAATGTTTTGAAGGACGCTGAAGTTTGGAAGATGCTCAAACGGGGAAAAGCACTATAACATATGGCTATAAATTGGGTCTTGTCATCAGCCCCTTCCCAAGATCCCCCCAATTCTTATTAAAATGCCAAGCGTCTGTTCTACCTCTGGGCCTTTCCTGTCAGGGGAACTTTCCTGGAGACTCTTTCAAGGAGCTTTTAGAAGTTTTGTTTTCCAGTAAGAGAGGAAGGCCTGCGTCTCAGGTCTGAGGCCACAAGAGAGGTGTTCTTTGGCAAACACGGCCAAGTTAGCCTGACTAGGGCATGTGGTAGGAGAGCTGAATGCAGGGTCTTGCGGGTTAAGGCAGGATCTCTAATCCCAAGGGTCTGGAAGCTGGGTGGAAGGGTGACCTGGCACTGGAGTTAAAATACCAGCCTTGGAATCCTTCTGACAAGAAAATGAGGAGTGGAACAACGACGCCCTTCAGTTATGTGTGACATGAGTGAAGTGCCTACATGGCTCACAACAGGCCTCCAGCGTGCGGGGGACAGCATGCCAACATCACAGGCTCTCCGGTCTGAGCTAGATGTGAGCTTTGGCCTGGTCTCCACTTCCCCTGGGAAACTTTCTAGTGCTGACTTTTCACAGGCCAGATATTAAGTTTTTCCACGCGTGAGCCCCTGTAATGCTTAGAACAGCCCAACCGGGCAGATGCTTGTCATGGACCCCATTTCCCGAGCCCCACAGGAGCCAGGTGGCTTAGCCAAGGCCATGCACTCACTAGCTTGTGAATGGTCTGAACCAGGCCGACTGGCTCTACAAGCAGCAGCTCGATCATTATAGTACCTGAAACATTAAGTCATGATAACGACAATGACTGCGAGCTAATCATGTGTCAAGTAACACACGTGTCATGCGTTACTGGCAGCTACCCTGAGGATGAGGCCTACGCAGCGCAGCTGAACCAGCAAGGCCGCTGTGGTCGGTCACTGCCACAAGGTCACTGGCGGTGATTTGGGAGAGAGGGAGGAGAGTGCTGCAGGGGGGATGAAGTCAACCTCAGACACCTCGGGATTCTGGCAGCTCTTAGCTGCCCCTGCGTCCTGCAGAGGGAATCGGACACAAAGCTGCACATTTTGTTTGGTTTCTTGCCCCTCCCCCACTTCCTCTTCCTCTCGGGACATCTGTGCTTCAAATCGAGGGTCAAAGTCCAGTTAGATGTTTTGTTCTAAGGTCTTTTTTTAAAAGTTGCTCATTTGACACCCCCCCCCCATGAGAGTTGGCCTTAATCTGAAGGAGCGCTCCTGGGGCTGGAGTCGGGCTGTGGAGGTGGGAGCAGGAACGACCAGGCCCCACCGAGGTAGTCCGCAATGTTAGGTCAGACTTGGGGTGAGTGTGTGTGTGTTCGCGCGCGCGCGCGCGGTGATACAACATCCCGTGCCCTCAGGCAGTCAGCAGTCTGCAGACTGAAGAGCAGGAGATGGTAGCTCCAGGGCAGTGCCGTGCACTTTGCGAGATCAGCTCACTACTCCAGCACCCGGCAACTTTATCGAACTCAGCGCCCCTCTGCAGGACACGGCCCCGAACTGTCCTTAACTAGGTCTCTGGCTGCTTACGACACGGCGTTGCAGTCCTGATATCACAAGACGGGCTTCCCGGGAGGCTGCAACAACGGCAGTGGCCCTCCCGCCCCCCGAAGCGCTCGCTCGGCGCGCAGTTCCCGGGAGTGGGGCTGCTGACCGGCCCCTCCTCGCCGCTGCCTGCAGCCCGG